TTTTACCATACTTATTCAATCTGTATGCAAAGCAAATAAACTGAGAAGCTGGATTATACGAAGGAAAGAGTGGCATCTTTTTTAGGATTGGAGAAAGACTAATAACCTGTGATATACAGATGATACAAATTTGCTTGTTAAAAATGAAAAGGACTTTAAATACATACTGATGACGTTCCAAGACCACAGTCTTCAGTATGAGTTGCCTTTGTACGTAAAGGAAACAAAATTCCTTACCACTGGGCCTATAGACAACATCCATGTAAATGGACAACTGAAGTTGTCAGACTTCATTTTGCTTGAATCCACCATTAACACTCCTGGAATGACATATTGCAATAGGCAAGTCTTCTGTGCAAGACCTCTTTAAAGTGTTGAAGAGCAAAGATGTCAGTTTGAAGACCAAGGTGAGCCTGATCCAAGCCTCACATGCATGCAAAATTGCATAAGGAAGACCGAAGAATTGCTGCATATAAGTTATATAAGGAGCTCTGGTAGCGTAGTGATTACAAATCGGGCTGTGAACCACAAGGTCAGCAGTTCGAAACTACCAGCTGCTCCGCAAGAGAAAGATGAGGCTTTCTGCTCCCATAAAGATTTATAGCCTCAGAAACCCTGTTCAGAGTCACTATGGGTCAGAACCAACTCGACGGCACTTAACAACAACAACAAGTTATGTATGATGTTGGAGGAGAATATTGAAAGTAATATGGACTGCCAAAAGAACAAACACATCTTTGTTGGAAGAAGTGTAGCCAGAGTGCTCCTTGAAAGCCCAGACTTCATCCCTCATACTTTGGATATATTAGCAGGAGGGACCAGTCTCTGGAGAAGGATATCGTGTTTGGTAAATAATGGAGAGTTGGAGAACAAGAGGAAGACCCCCAGCAACAGGGAGTGGCACAATGGCAGCAGCAATGGGTTTAGGCATAGCAAAGATTGAGTATGAGGTTGGCCTAGGTACCTGCAGTGTTTTGCTCTGTTATGCATAGGGTTTCTGTGAGTTGGTACTGACTTGATGGCACCTAACAACAACAACAAATCAGTTGAAACAGACTGTTGTTGTTGTTATATGCCGTGTGGAGTTGGTTCCAACTCACAGTGGGTTTCCAAGGCTGTAAATCTTTACAGGAGCAGAAAACCTCATCTTTCTCCCAGGGAACAGCTGGTAGTTTCGAATTGCTGACCTTGCAATTCACAGCCCGATTCGTAACCACTACGCTACCAGAGCGTCTTCAAGCTCCTTCGAAACAGACTAGAGGGCACTTAATAACAACAACAACCATTTTAAAAATGAATATTCCAGACCACCACTTAATTGTGCTAATGAAGAACTTGTACATTGATCAAGAGGCAAAAATTGTTGCAACAAAACAAAAGAATTATACGGATTTAAAATCATGATAGATACACATCAGGGTTGTGTCTTTCACCATATTTACTCAATCTATATGCTGAGCAATAATCTGAGAAGTTGGGTTATATGAAGAATAACAACATATCAAGACTGGAGGATGGCTCATTAACAACCTGTGATATGCAGACAGCACAATACTCCTTGTGGGAAGTGAAGAGAACTTGAAATACTAACTGATGAAGATCTAAGACTACAGTCTTCAGTATGGATTGCATTCAAAGAAAACAAAATATTACCAGGTGAGCCAATAAATAACATCATGATTAATGGAGAAACTATTGAAGTTGTCAAAGAGAACTTTTGCCTGAATCCACAATTAACACCAATGGAAGTTATAGTGAAAAAAATCACAGGCCATATTGCATTAGACAAATCAGCTGCAAAAGCCCTCTTTCAAGTGGTAAGGAGAAAAGAAATCAGTTTGTGGATTAAGGTGTATTTGCCCCAAGCTATGGTATTTTCAATCACCTAATATGCATATGAAAGTTGGACTATGAATAAGGAAGACCAAAGAATTGATGCATGTGAATTAAGGTGTGGAGAATATTTAAAGTACTATTCAAGGAGCTCTGGTAGTTTAGTGGTGATGAATCAATAGAATCAATCCAGTGGGCTTAGAACCTCAAGGTCAGCAGTTCTAACCTACCAGCTGTTCTGCAGGAGAAAGATGAGGCTCCCATAAAGATTTACAGCCTCGGAAACCCTGTACAGGGTCGCTATGAGTCGGAACCGACTCCATGGCACATAACAACAACAGCAATTCACTGCCAGAAGAACAAATAAATTTGTATTGGAAGAAGTACAGCCAGAGTGTTCCTTAGAATCTAGGATAGTGAAACTTCTCTCATACTTTGGACATGCTGTCAGGATTGATCAGTTGCTGGAGAAGGACATCATGCTTGGCAAAGTGAAGGAACTGTGAAAAAAAGAGGAAGACCCCAATTAGGTGGATTGATAGGGTGGCAGCAGAAAAGTAATAACACTTGTGATGATGGCACAGGACCAGAGAGTGTTCTGTTGTTCATAAGGACACTATGAGTTGGAACTTACTCAAGGGCACCTAGCAACAACAACATGTGTCAGACATGTAAGAGTTGTGAGCAGGTGAATGAAATAATCAGATTTCATTTTAAAAAGATTAAACAAGGGCAAACAAATTTAAATCTAAAGGCTTAAAGATCTTGTCAAATATTACTATAGTAGTTTCAGTAAGAAAGGAATGGTAAGGCTGTCAATATATCCTGGATGCTAAAAGGATGTATCTTTTTCCAAATTTCTGCAATAGCCTCTTTCCTTTTTCCCTTTCTTATCCTTTTACTAGAGTAACTTCTCCTCATCCTTCACAGGCTTAAATGCCACTTTTAGCAAGAGTGGGATGACATCAAGAAACTTATACAAGAGAAAAGCAAAAAGTCATAAAGAAGACAAGAAAGAAGGAAAAGACCAAAATGGATGTCAGATGCGACTCAGAAACTTACTCTCCAGCATAGGGATGCTAAAGCAAATGGAAGAAATGAGGAGGTAAATTGGAAGAAATGAGGAGGTAAAGAGCTGAATAGAACATTTCACAGGAAAGCCCCAGAAGACAAAGTCAAATATTATAATAAAGTGTATAAAGATCTGAAGTTAGAAAACCAAAAAGAAAAACACACTCAGCATTTTGTAAACTGAGGGAACCGAAGAAAAATTTCAAGCGTTGACTTACAATATTGAAGGAGTCTATGGGCAAAATAGTGAATGATGAAAAAAGCATCAAAGGAATATGGAAGTAATACACAGTGAAACTACAAAAAATAAAGAGTTGATGTTGAGCCATTTCAAGAGGTAGCATATGATCATGAACCAAGATGCTGAATTCACAGTACAATGAAGACTTTTGCCAAAAAAAAAAAAAAAAGCTCTGGGAATTGATGGAATCTTTCAATAAACTATTGTGGCACTAGCAGGCCAGCTGCTTGGAAGAGATCCATTGTGTCTATTCCAAAGAGAGATTACCCAATGGAATGCAGAAATCATCAGACCATATCATTAATATTGCATGCAAGGACAATTTTTAAATGCCTACAAGAGTATATCTACAGAGAACTTTCAGAGGTTCAAGCTGGATTCAAATGAGGATGTGGAACGAGTTATATCATTTCTGATGTCAGATGGATCTTGGCTGAAAGCAGAGAATACCAGACAGATGTTTACCTGTGCTTTATTGACTACCAAAGTGTTTTAATTGTGTGGATCATGGCAAGATATAGATGACATTGCAGATAATAATTATTCCAGAACACTTAATTGTGCTTATGTAGAACCTGTACATGGACCAAGAGTCAGACAAGGAAACACCAAATGGTTTAAAATTAGGGAAGTTTTGTTCCAGGGTTGTATTCTTTCACTGTTTGTTTTCAATCTGTATGCTGAGCAAATGAACTGAAAAGCTGGATTATATGCAGAAAGAGAAAGACTCATTAAGGA